GTCAGTCTGGGAGGGGGCACCTGATATTGGCTTCTCTGGGCAGTCTGCTCGCAAAGCCTGCCCCATCTTAGACACAGAAGTGGGATGGGATAATGATCTCCAGCCTGGGACAACTGGAAAGGTCATGTCTTAGCATCAGAACCTTTGGAGGAAAGGGGTTGGCTAGGATGGCAGGTGGTCAGCGTGAGGGAATCATTCTGGCATTTTTCTATGATGGGAGAGCAGAGGAACTTGAGATGGGCAGTTGATAAACGGAGGGGTCAGAATCTCATGCTGAAAACTCAGCAGCAGGTGGATTGTGAGTCACTAGATGTGATCTGGAGTCAGGGCTCTACGGAAAGAGGAGACCTGTGCCCTTGTCATGAGGCCCTGCTCACCTGGTCTGACGCGTCACGCTTGGAAGGCTCAGTGACCTTAGAGTGAAAGTTTGAGGGCTACTGTGGTAGCCCCACCCTGGGCTGTGTCTGCCCATTCTCAAAGAAGGGAGCCTTCATGGCAGTGCAGTGCCTTGGTCTGGTACTTTTTTTTTTTTTTAAAGATTTATTTATTCATACAGAGCTGAGGTACAGGCCAGAGGTGTGGGGGGTGAGAGGCTTCACCAGAGACAGAGTGGGGAGCAGAACAGGCAGATCGACAAAGTACACTGTTGAGGGAAGCAGCGAGCGGGTCAGGAGAGGTCTGCCACGCCATGTGGATCTCCTCTGGGGCAGGCAGGGATCGAACTCATGCAGAATTGGCTTAAGCTTCTTAGTGCAGTGCTTTAACCTGCTGTGCCACCAGGGAGGGCCCTGGTCTGGTACTTTTGTCCTGACATCGAGCTTCCTAGGACCAACTGGAGGTCACATCCCAAGTTCCCTGGGGCCTATTCCAGGGGCCCCCAGCAAGGAGCTCCTGCCTAGGGATGGAGGCTCCAGTAGATAAACGTTTTGTTCCATTCAACTCTCAAGTTTTTCTTCGGTAGGATTCTACTTTCCTATTTCCTTTCTATATCGCACCTCCTTTTATACTTTACCATCTCCGTGGCTGGTTCCCCTTCTTCTCAGTTTATACATTTCATTAATACATAATTCCCATCCTTCTCAGTCATTAATAAAGATGTTAAATAATTCTGAACCAAGCACTCACCCCCGTAGGGCCCTACAGGACACTTTCCTTTAATTAGTTGTGCCACCTTTCATCTCTTTAATGTCCTTTGGTTGCAGATTTCCAGCTGGTTTGGGATCCATGTGACTTTGTATCCAGCCCTATTTGAACTAATTTCATGAGCGAAAATCTGAGAGATGTTTTACTGAGTATTGGTTCAGGTCCAGGCCTACAGAGAGCTTTGCTATATTCAGATTTTTTTTTCCAACAGATTAATAGAGTACAATTTCTTCTTAATAAGCTGAGCCTTTGACGTTCCTCCTTCCAATATTCTTTTCAATCATTGCAGTATTTTCTCCATTAATGTCATGGAAATTAGAATTGTGTTGATGTCAAACTCCACACAAGGTATTCTCACTGTCAGGAGTAATTCTCTTAGACCGTTTTAGAGATAACTATTTCTCAGTGGCTGTGCTATTCCCCTATCATATAATGACTTCGTTTTTATAAAACAAAAATAATCAGGTATCTTTCCTAATGAACCGGTCTCTAATGGGCTTTCTTATAGAAAATAGGGTGTGAATTAAACTTGTGAGCTACCACAGTTCATGGTATCTCATTAAGTCGTTTAAAATTGTATAACCCTTTGATGAGCTCTGAAGGCTTGAAGATGTAACAGGCAGCAGGTGGACTATTGGAGGTAAACTTCTGGACCACACAGGATGGTGAGGGTGATAGTCAATGGGGTTTCGATTTGATGTTTGAAAATCCTTGGACAGAGGGTGTGGGCGGAATCCCACTGAAAGGCTGTAAGCAAGTGTCTCTTTGTATTAAGCTAAATTGAATTTTGTCAGCTGTGGGGCCCACTCCTTCATGTCAGGTCATGAATTACTGGAGATTACAATGCAAAAATAGAGCAAAAATATTGAGCAGGTGAGAAAGGAACTTGAGAGGAGCTCATCCCTCACCTTTTGTCTGGACCTGATTCTTAGAGATCTTTACCAGCAAACATTTATGTTCTAAGAACCACTGCAGCCATCCAGCCACCTTTCTGCTGTCGTCCCCTGCCTCTGATGCACGTTACCTAATGAGGTCCTTTCTGGAGCTCTCAACTCATTTATTAACACAGGTCCCTTCAGCAAGCAAAGGATAACTAACCTGACCCTCTATGAAGGTCAACTGGAAGTACCTGCTTTCACAAGCTAGGTCAGGGCTAGATCTCACCCTAGACCCCAGTGGAAACTTCACTAACCAGTAAGATTTAGAAATCTTTTTGGAGTAGCAGGGCTAGATCCACACGGGGGAGAATAAAAAGCTAAGGTGACACAGTAGGTCCTCTGGTCGGGTTTGTAGGATCAGTTAATCCCTTTAAACAAGTTCTTTTGGCATCAGCTTTTATCCTCGACCGAGAGTGGAGAAGTAACATTCACTAGGTGTGTTTGAAAATTTTACTTGGGCAGACATTAACAGTATAACTATAAGAAGCTAGAAGGGCCTAACGAAGCTAGAAGCTAAAAAGAAAGGAACCCTGGAAAACATGTTGACTTGGCTGTCAATGTGAGTCGCCCTGAAGTTTACATAAAACAGAAAGCACAGTCTAGCTTGCCGTGCTGAGATGCCTGGACTCCTGGTACTGACGGTGCCTTGGCTTGGTGAGCCCATGCACGTGGCACAAGCCACTCTGCTCCACTGGTGCCGTGCAGACACCGCCACAGTGAGCGTGTGAGTGCAAGGGTGTGGCTGTGTTCTAGAAAAAACTTCATGGAACTGAAATGTGAATTTCATGGGTTTTCACAGGTCAGCGGTGTATTCCTCTTGTGACAGTTTTTCCATGGGCCATACAAAAACAAGTGACAGACTGGTTTGGGTTGCTAGAGACAAACCTGTCATGCCCAGAGATCATGTGTCCCCTAAAACACCCAGTGCCACCCCAAAGACCCTGTAGGTGCTCATAAATACTTGTCACCACATGAAAGCGAGAGTAAACCTTTTGCTATACAACACACACTTGACATTTGCAGGGATTTATCTTGAAGTCTTGGCTAATCCTCCCCTCCCAAGTACCACTCTTGCAGATAATTTCCCCCATAAAGTGCAGTCAAGTATAACAGAATAATTAAAGTGACCCTTTCGGGCCCTTCGTGATTCTATAAATACAGGGCTAAAATCCTTTACTAAGTGATTAAAATAAATTCTGCCACCAAAATCAATTTTCTGTCACATTGCATCATTGCTGTGATGACATTGACGATGAAGATACCTCAATCTGCAAAGCCAATCCATCGCGATAATGAGTGGTGGTGACCGCTCTACCATAGAGCACCTGCGTGGGCCGAGGAGCAGAATGCTAAACACCCCTGGCAGCCCCACAGGCGTCGGGGTGAGTGGTGCACATGCGAGGAGCAGGGAACTCCAGGCTGCCTGGAGGGGCAGTGGGAGGTAGGCAGGTGCTGGGTATGAAGAACTTTCCGGGTGCCGGAGGTGGCTTCCTCCCTGTGACATCCTCTATGCGGGTACCCTTGGCACTTAGGACTTAGACAAATATCACGTGACTCCCTGGGCCTGGAGTCATTTTCAGAATAGCAAGAATGTGAGTGTGAAATTCACTCATGCTAAAGCTCTGCTGTACTATACTGGCTCGCATCTTGGTCCCGGTCCTGTCTGGGTGCCCCCATTGCAGAAGGCGGAGGACTGGCTGGAAACGGTCTCCAGAAGAACAACACGGTGACCAGAGGGGTAGGCGGTAGCATCTGGAAGAGAAGAATGAAAGCAATCGGGATTGTGTCATCTTTGAAAAGGAAAAGGATTCTTGTCCTCCAATGAAGGGATTTTTTTTTTTAGACTGATTTATTTGTGCATAGGAAACTGGGGTACAGGCCAGAGGTGCAGGGGCAGTGAGAAGCTTCACCAGAGACAGAGCGGGGAGCAGAACAGGTAGAGCGACGAAGTACACTGCTGAGGGGAGCAGCGGGCGGGTCAGGAGAGGTCTGCCACGCCATGTGGTCACCTCCGGGGCAGGCGGGAATCAAACTCATGCGGAAGTGGCTTAAGCTTCTTAGTGCAGCACCTCAAACCGCTGCGCCACCAGGGAGGGCCCGAAGGGATTGTTTTTTTTTTTTAATATACGTGTTCTTTAATGAAGTGTTTTTGACAGTATAGGACTCTCCCCTGGGGTGACATCACTGTGGTTCTTCCACCAAGCACCCTCACCATATCCCATATCCCTTCCCTTTCCACCTTTCACCCCCCACCACCAGCTGGATTCCTCCAACCTGCAGGCAGCGTACAGAGCTTGCCTTTGACCCTCTGTTGTGTCCCTATATTCCACTTGTAAGTGAAGCCATCTGGTAGTTTTCTTTCTTGTCTGATGTTTTTTGCTTAGCATAATCTGCACTTGTGTATGTGTGTGTGTGAAACTGGAGTAGACCCTGAAATAGACACAGCACATAGAGACCCTATCGTGTAAGCCTGCATGAGATGGGGTCCAGGTATCAGGTGATTTGAGGGAAACTTTACTTAATGCTGAGCCCTGTCTCTGGCCTGTGGTCAGTGGGCCCCGTTCCTTTCTTTCCTTGTAGTGTATTGTGAGCCTCCAGAGACTGTCAGGCAATGAGCAGTTTTGAAACTCCAGTGATATCTCACTCTTCAGACAGAATGTCAGACTCTTCAACTGTATTTTCAACTGTCTTGTGAGACAACGACTAATTGGTTTGACCTCATGCTGTCGTGTGTGGAGAGACATGATTCTTCAGCACTCTTCCTTGAATTCATTGATTTCATTAAACACTGTCTGCTTGTGTTTGCAAAATGTTGTAATTTCCCAGTGATTTCTTCGAACTGCAGCACAGAAACAGATTTTTTGGAACAACGCCACTTCTTAGCTTTGATCTCGTGTTTCTCTCTTTTATTTCCAATAGGTCTTCTACATTAAGTCCATTGAACCACGGAAAATCTCGACCTTAGGAAAAAAAAATGTGATCGTCACGGGTGCAAACTTTTCCCACGCGTCTAACTTCGTGATGATCCTCAAAGGGACCAGTACTTGTGATGAGGACGTGTGAGCTGAAATATTAGTACTTTATCACTAACTGATGGTACAGTGAAAAGTCACTGGGCATTCATAGTGAAATGCCAAGGATTATCACTGTGATTGTCATCTTTATATAAAGTCATGTTATTTAAATCTACCAAAGTGAGCCAGTTAGTGTGAGTAGTTGATAGAACTTCTATAAGTAATAATAATTTCTTTTTTAAAAAAAAAAAACAGTATTTACTTATGCATACAAAAACTGGCGTGTAGGCCAGAGGTGCAGGGAGTGAAAGGATTCACCAGAGACAGAGTGGGGAGCAGAAAAGGCAGATACACTGTTGAGGGGAACAGCTGGTGAGACAGGAGAGGTCTGCTGCACCATATTGGTCAGCTGCCTGGCCAAGGATTGAACTGTCAAGCTATCATGCTGCATCTGCTTTAACCTCTACACCACCAGGAGGCTCAAATGTAGTAATTTCTATACCACATTTGAAGGTAATCGGGAGATCATCTGTCCCAGGCCACCAACTCCCTCCTGTAACCTCAGTACCCAGTGATTTTTATCTGGTAGCCAGTTTGTGGTCTTGAATTGTTTTCATTAACAAAGTCAAGTGTGTAGATAATGTCTAAACATTCTTAGAAAAGGACCCATTTAGAAAAATAGTTGAGTACCTGAGAATTGGATGGAAAAACACAGCAACTCTGCTAACAGGTTACCCAACACTGAAAACATTTTTTTCTGACCCCTTTCATTCTTTGTAACCTTGTCTTTAGACTGGTTTCAGGCTTGAATAATAACTAGATGGAATGTGCATTCATCATTAAAAAGAGAGAGGGAAAATGAAACACCCCAACATAAGTATTGAAGACTGTTGTCTTTTTCACTGCTTTCCCCCTCACTCACCCTCTCAATGAAACAGCGAGAGAAGGAATCCTCTCATGTCCCGGTGCAAATGGTAGCATCCAGAAAGATGAACTACACAATCGATCATTTGAGATTTCTGCTGGTGGTTTTTATCCATTGGGGCTAACTTGAGGTAAAAGATGTTGCAGTCTCTGTGAAGTACAATATCGAACTTGTGCTCATGTTGGAGTGTGGTCGAAGACAGTCTGCCCAGGCATGGCATTCTGGCGTTTAACTATGAAAATAGATCTGTACAGCATTTTAATCTGCCATGCTTATTTACTGAATTTTCTGTTTTAATTCATTTGCTGCATGTAACTGTCACACACACCCCGCCCCCAGCGATAAATTTGGGGCTTGTATCATCTTGATGGGAAAAGCTGCTCCTATGTGGCTTTCTGTGTTCTGCTATTTACTAGAATTATCAAGCACGCATTAGCAGCGGTAGCTGCACGACACGGGTGTTTTTTGGTGTCGTTTATCCTGGCTAAATACCTTATTGCAAAAATCTTTCATTTTGTGTAGCAAAATCTGTGAAGTTAAACACCTGTGTGCTTGCAGAAAAGCAATCAGCTTCGCTGGCAAATGAGTCGTTGTTCCGAGTATTACCCTGTATCTGACTGTTTATGCTCTCATTTCAATTCTGAATGTGTCTTGAGACACTGCAGTTATTAAATCAAATGACTAGTAGGAGACCTTCCCGCATGAAGCATTTCGGTAACCACTTGGTGTGGTGAACCCCTGTTCATGAGCAGTAAACATAATACCCAGTTAATCCTAGATCTGACTTCATACCATAATCCCAAACTCCTTAATATGCTATTCTTTTTAATGCCTACTTTTTCCAAAGAGGGAAATGCAAAACAGTAAGTAGTGGGATGACCCACATTTCCACCCATCTCCTTGCAAAATTTATAAACATGTTTGAATTTTAATGATCAGTCATTTTACAGTAAATTTCCTAGAGCTTTGCTCTAAATATAACAAACCTTTGGGATGTAAATCTTAGGTAATGTAAGCACAAACTGACTCAAATGTTTTTCGAATTTGCCTTATTATTAGAATCTATTATTACAATTTGAAGGATGTTCGCATTAAAGTTAATGATCATGCATGTCCTTATAAGCAATAATCGACTCTCATGCAGCCTGGCTAGACTGAGTGTACCTCAGACTGGGTCTCAGAGAGTCACTGTGAGGCCCACAGCAGGCTGCAGGTCCCAGAGAGAACAGTAGCGGAGGTCTTGCTCTGTCCCCTGGAAGAACTGAGGGCTTGCTCTCCAGATACTGGGTGCACCGTGATAGCCCAGCTTTTCCCAGTCTGTAAGCCTCTCGCGCAGCAGAAGGCTCGGATGCCAGTTGACTCAGAGACCACTGGACTCTTGGCGTGGACTTCTGTCACACGCTTGCTGCTCTTTGAAGGGCAGAGTCCTCATCGCTGCTCCAAACTGGCTTCTACCCTCCCAGTGCTTGACGGGGCCTTCTTGTTTTAAGCTTTTCATTCTGGGAAGTTCCAAACATATATAAGAAAGAGACATGTAACAAACTTCTCTGTCTCCATTCTTCACCTTCAGGAAGCATCTTGCCAATCTTGATTCACCTACCTCCTCCAAAGTTTTTTTGGAGGGAAAGAAGGGTGGCGACTAGAGTTTTGTTGTTCTTTTTATTAAAGCCTAAATGATATAGAAGATACCAGTTTCAGGCAGACAATGTAATGATTTGACATTTATAAATAAGGCAGAATCATCACAGTGTATAATTTTCCATCTACTTTTAGCAAATTTTGGGAAACTTTTTTTTTAACAAAAGTTTATTTTTACAAATTTTGGAAAACTTTTTAACACTCTGATTGCCTAATGGGTCGTACACTGTACACTACACCCCCTGACTTAGGTTAGAAGTGAAAGCTTGGACCTCCGATGCCCATTTTTCCCACCACCCACGGCTGGAGTTTAGTTTTTTAGTAGCTATCCCCCAAATGTAATCTTTTTATTCACAAATATTTCACGTATCTTCCTAAAAGTTAAGGGTTAGTAGATCTGCCTGTTCTGCCCCCCTCTCTGCCTCTGGTGAATCCTCTTAGCTCCCCCCACACCTCTGGTCTATACCCCATTCTTATATATATATAAATAAATAAATCCTAATGATGAGTGTAAGCATCATGATCAGAGTTCACAGTAATTTCATAAAACACCCCACAACCCAGTCTATGTTCCACTTACTTAGATTTCATAAAGCAATGGTTAGGTCTTCTTTCTCTATTTACTTCTAAGGGAAATGCAAAGAAACACCAAAGAAGAGCAACCCAACATAGTATTCAAATTTGGAAAGTGGCCCCGGGTCCTCAGCAGGTCGCTGCAGCTGCTCCCTGAATCTGAACTTCTGGGACCTGAGTCAGGGTCACAGCTGTCACCGTGGGTACCTAACCACACCAGTGTCTTGTCACACAAGAGTTTTTTTCTACTTCTTTTTAGGGTGCAGGGTGACAAAATAAGCGACAACTGTCTGAACTTCTCTCTTCCATCAAGCCGGAAAGAAATGAAGGATGTGTGCATCCAGTTCGATGGCGGAACCTGTTCTTCCGTGGGGACCTTGTCTTACATTGCTCTGCCACACTGTTCCCTTATGTTTCCTGCTGTCACCTGGATCGGGTATTTCATAGATTCATCTTTCTCACTGTTGAGAGGGCCCTTCAATAAACCCCAGTTTACTATTCCTAGTGAAATTCTTCATCGGATTTATTCCTAAGACATAGGCACACTTAACAAACAAGTTGCTTTGCATTTTCACAGTGAACCCTGAAGTCATCCTGATTTACTCTTAGCCATGGCCGCCAGGAAGCTCACAGCTCAGTTCAATGCGGGAACTATTCTTAGCCTAGGTTTCCGATACACATACACAGCTTTCTTCACTGCATCTCAGTCCTGCCCATGATGATAGCTAAGCTGCCTCTTTCTTAATGCTTTCACTTAAAAACCTTTAGATAAGCTGTTTTGAATTCTTTAGGAAAGATTAGTTGCATTATCTAGATGAAAATTATGTTTTTCAAAGATGCTCCCTAGGTAAGAGATAGAAACTCCAAAGTAAACTCCTTGAGACCACTCTAGTGTATTAAGAAAAATAACTCTCCCCCTAATTCACATTCATATTGTAGAATATAACCTAGGAAATACTTCCTTCACCTAACAAGGCATGAAGCTAATTTTCAAAGCATTATCAAGATGAAAGGATGGCTGAAGCTTTGTTTAAAAAAAGAAAATCACTTCTGATGTTCTTGTTTAAGATTAAATGAGAGGTGAATGTTTCAGTTTGATAGGCCTGCCATATCAAAGTATTATAGACTGGATGGTTTAAATAACACATTTATTTCATCACGATTCTGCAAGGTAGGCATTCAAGATTTATTGCAGTTGGTTTCTTCAGAGTCAGCCGCTCAGCTTGTAGATGATTGTCTTCTCTGAGCCTTCACAGGGTCTTTCCTCCATGTCCATCTGTGTCCTAATGTCGGCTTGTGAAGATATGAGTCATTCTAGTGACCACCTCACTTTGCCTTAACCACCCTTTAACAACTCTTTCAATATATACAGTCACATTCTGAGGTGAACACTTCAGCTAAATTATAGAGAACCGTTCAAGCCGTTAAGAGTGAGGAAAACAGACACCTCAGAACCAAGGTTCTAGCCTAGCATTCCCTTGCTCTGAGACTAAGTCCTTCCTATGAATAATAGGTCAAGCCTCGTGAGCCTCAGGAATCAATGGGAGCCCCTCTAGCAGGTGAGGGAACTGAGTGTTCAGCTTGGCCCAGCGTGCTGAATGTTGGACACTACCGTGTTCTCCTTTACCATAAAGTCAGAGGTTTCTTAACATCTGGTGACCTGTGACAAGACCTTCTGAACTTGTGTCTCTTAGTGGCTCCTGGGTTGCTGCTCTTTGAGTAGGAATGAGACTCTGCAGCCCAATCACGGGCTGATACACTTGGTTTGGTTTTCTAGTAATGGCAACAGGCTGGCACAAGGCCAGACCGGCCCTTCCCCTTGTGGCTGACGGGTTCAGGCCTCATGCCTTCCGCCTTCCGTTTGCCCTATGCAAATTGGCCTACACCTGCACACCTCCTAGTTGCATCATCAGGGGCTTAGCCAGGCAAAAGGGCTGACGTACTCCGGCAGCTGTTCTCTGGTAACCTGTGTGCACGGGTTTGAGGGCGGCCGGGCTGTGGACAGCTGTGTGTTTCACATCTAATGACTGCTTTGCTTGTATGTGATTACGCGCTGAGAATATGTGAAATCATTTGGCTGTGTTTTGGAGAGAGGGAACATAGCTATTATTTAAATGGGTTGCCAAATGGGAATTTATACTTATAATGTCATTTATAATTTTACCTTGTCCACAGTGTTCCCTGTCTTCCTAAATAAAATAAAATTGGTAGGTTGGGACTTGGATGTTGAAAACTGTTGGATTGAAGAATCTTCATATAGATTCAATAGCAATCAAATAAAATTCCATGTAGTGAAGCCCTTTTAAGGTTCAGCTGATGATTTGATCCTATGTAGCAGTATGATTCCACAAGACTCACATTTCTATAAAAAGAATTTGGGCATTTTCCTAGAATTAAAACAGGATCTGATTTGAATGTTTATATTTATGTATCTTAAGAACTATATGAAATTGTAGTCAGAATCATTAGACGACTTCTAAAATTGTCCTGCATTTGAAATTAAAATGTGTTCATTTGCCTTCCAACAGAAATGAGTTTCCTATTCAGTGTAACTAAACAGAAAGCTGTGTCCATCAGTACCACACGTCCACGGTGTTGTTGCTGACCCTCCTGTTGTTTATTCCTTGCAGTGGTGGTCAGAATATAACCATCATGGGCAGAAATTTTGATGTCATTGACAAGTTGATCATTTACCCTGAGTCTCTAAAGTACGAAAATGTAAGTCTGGCTTCTTTGAGCTCTGATTTTGTTTTTGTTTTCATCCCACTAAACTATTCCGTGATGTATTTTTTTATTTCTATGCCTCCAATACTGTAAACACTTACCTGTTGCCTGCTCCTTTCCATCGGTGCAATGGGGGGAGGCGAAGACCATAGACTTGGAGTTGAGGATGGGGAAAGAGGCGTAAACTTGCATTTTCCTCCTTGGATGGTTTGTGGCAAGTGCTTTACTGAGACAGGTTGTGAATAAGCGTGAAGATGCCTCATGCGTGGTTACAGTGACAGGCACAGAATTGCATTTCTGGGGAGAGTACGTGATACGGTGCTGCTGACTGAGAGAGCGGCGACAGTGTAGGGGTTAAGTGACCTGCTTCAGACCCAGAAATCTTGTCACCCCCTCCTCTTGTCATGGCCTCTTCGGGTCAGTTTGGTGTCTGCCCTCTGTCCTCACCTCCTCTTACCTTTCATCGTCCCACATGGAGTCTGATCCCCGGGCCTCAGCTTTCTCTGGGGGGGGCTTCCAGATTGCAGCCCTCCACGACAGGAGCAGGAGGGGAAATGATGAATGCCACTGCAGGTGGGACCCCCGGACACCTGTGAGAGACCTGAGGGCGGCAGCCTTGGGGAGTCCAGCCTGACCACTTCCCGCCAAAGCTGCAGGGGTGCGAAGGGCCACAGGTGTGGCCCAGGGTTAGGTCCAGGCCTAGAGACAGAAGGCCCTCGTAAAGCATCAGTGCCGCCCGACCACCCAGCTGTCCACCCACTGATGTATTCAGTGTCTCTTGGACATGCTGGCTGCAGGCCGTGTGTCAGTGGTACAAACACATCCCCTCAAATACTTCATAAATGGATCCTCTGATCAGAGGCAACACCTGAACTTGCTTTGGGCTTGCTCTCCCTTCTCAGGGATGTTCCTAAATCAAATAGAATTTAATTGAGCCCCACTGAGGGCCGAATGTTTTGCTGGGGGCAAGAAGCAAAGGCAGCTAAAGATAGTCGTGTTGCCTTCCTGGACGGACCTGGCGAATCTGCAGCGGGACTGAAAGCTGAGCTCAGCGCTAGTCTAGATCACCGTCTAGGTCCTCAGAGTCCCTTTCGGCTCAGAAACCCCTAGGTTCCAGAAGGCACGATGGGTTTTCACATGAAAGAGAAATGCAATGCAGATGGGATGAGGATGGGTGAGGCTCAGACAGGGAGCTGATTCCAAGGACAGAGGGTGGGTTCCTCAGGCTGTGACGCGCATATCCGGGAATGTCAGGAGTCCGGGAATATCAGGAGTCCTGCCCAGCTGGGAGATGGATGATGAGTCAGACTGAAAGATTTACCCCAAATTCTGTAGGTAATGCAAAGCAACTGGACCCCTCACGTAGGGCTGGTGTGATGTACACTGCATGGTTATTGCTCGAGCAGCAGTGCAGAGGGGAACTGGAGGGGACAGGAGTGCTGGAAGGGGCAGCACTGGGGGGCGGGGAGGTGCTGAAGCTGGAGCTGATCGGTTGTCTTTCTAGCACCATTGTGCCTGGGAGGATGGGACTACAGTGAGGGCCAGGGCGGAGCAGCGTGGAAGGAGTGGGGAGAGCCTGCCGTGGGGTCTTGCAGAATAGTTTCATTGTAAGGAAGGAGCGAGGGGGAGCGGGCAGTGGACGTGGTCAAGAGAGGCTGAAAAGCTAGAGACAGCAGTCAGACGCTGGGAGCCGGGGGAAGAGGATCATTGAGGATAGTGAGGTTTGGGCAGTGCTGTCCCCAGCAGCCTTTCTGGAAGGCATCTTCAGTACAAGCCGGCCGGCTGGCTGTGGGCAGAGCTGCCCAGGTGGCCAAGACTGGAGATCAGTGGTTTTCCTGTCACCAGAAGTGTGAGCGAGAGATTCAGGGCCATAGTTGAACAAAGTGTTTACAAAGCAAGGAAGGTTTGCTTCTCCAAATGTCAGCCCTGTGTTTTAGATTCCCGTTCTGTGGCCCTGTCCTGCCCCTTTATCATTCTGCAGCCTGAGAAAGTAAGTTAAAAGAGAGGAAAATTGTCCCCTCCTGGCAGATTGCACTTCACAAGTTCTAGTTGCTCGTATTAAAAGCGGTTTTGTCAACCTCCCTTTCCCACCAGCTTTCTCGGCCTGTCACTCTGTGTTCCTCAAGAGCACAGTGTTTACATGCTGGATTTTTTTTCAATAAACTGGTCAGGTGGGCTCTCCGCTACCTGGTTCCTGTCTTCCTGCTCTTCCTTTGATGGGGATGTGTATTGCCTTTTATTTTTGTTGCCCCTGTTTGCTGCTAGGCCTGCAAAGGCTTTCCCTCCTTATGGTCATAGATTTCTGCCAAAGGAAAAGTCTCTGCTGAAATCCCGCACCTGGGCCTCCCTGATGACATGACTGACGTGCTCCCTCTTCCCCCTAGATCTCTGAATATTGTACGGCAACTCACTGCACGTTCTTAGCGCCCAGTCTGAAGAACCACAAAATGCCGACAAATGTCACAGTGAAGCTTCGGGTGCAGGAAACCGACTTGGAATGTGGCAGTTTGCAGTATCTTGAGGACCCCAAATTTACAGGGTATCGTGTCGAATCTGAGGTGGACAAAGAATTGGAAGTAAAAATTCAAGTACGTTTTGCTTTTTCTGCTTGGGCTCTGCCTGCACCCCCACAGGAAAGGTGTGCTTATCTTGGGAGTCTCCATGCCCGCCCTGATTTCTTCATCACTGCTTTGTTCTTCACAGAAAGAAAATGACAACTTCAACATTTCCAAGAAAGACATCGAAATTACTCTCTTCTATGGGGAAAATGGGCAATTAAATTGTAGTTTTGAAAATATTACTAGAAATCAGGATCTCACCACCATCTTCTGCAAAATCATAGGTGTCGATTCCGCACACAGCATTGCCACCTCTTCCAAGAAAGTCCATGTAAGTCTCCTGACAGCCCTCCCTGTTCTTTTTACTTGATTTTGGTAATTCCTTGAGCCTAAGAGCCAGAGAGGCATCTTTCGTGGATCTTTTGAACTTCACTTTAAATAGAAGATGAACAAAGCTAGTGTTGCACGCCCAAGCATAATTCTTCCAAACTAGCTGGCAGAATCCACGCGTGTGCCTGTTGGGATGTCAAAGCGTTGAACACATCATTGTCTATAATAGTGAGTCTTGATAGCTTTTGCTCTAGCCATTCATTTAGACCATAGCATCTGCAAGCAGAATCTCTAGAACCATTGAAGAATGCGCTATCTTTCTTTCCCCAAACATGGCCATGACATTGTCGAGCAGAAACCCACTCGGCAGGCTCCAGAGCCCCTCACTGGATCCTTAGTCAGAGGGAGACCAGACTGTCTGTGGGTCACGGCTGCCTCCTCCAGCGTGAAGTCACACCTGCTGCAATTACTTTTTCCACCCACATGTATTTGAGGGACCCACCCCTGAGAATTCATGTCCCATAATAAAGGTGGAAGAACGTTGAGGAGGGAAACATAGAGAAGTCTTCCTTGAGACGGTATCCATGCCCCTGATGCTCTGCACGGTCTGTCCTGAATAAACTGCTTTGCAGTCTGCGATCATGCCTTCTGGGACAGGGAAAAACACATCAGACTGGAAGGTGTGAACAAAAATGTGTTCATGTCCCAGCTGCACCTTAGCCAAGCTGTGTGACCTCAAGTGGGTCACTTGTTCACCCAGCCCCTCTTTGCCCACCTGGACATAACAAGGGTAATAATAATTAGAAAGTCAGTAGTTACCACTGACCTCGCACGTGGTTGCACATGTCAGATCAGTTGAGAAGAACAAATGTTGACATTTGTCACTCATGACAGTTCCTGAGTGCTGATGCTGTGATGGGGAAAGAGCAGAGCAGAGAACAGACAGAAACAGCTGTCTCAATGGAGCTTACTTACAGAGACATGCAGTGAAGAAAAACTTAAAATGTCTTAGATGCTGGAGGTTGTTAGGAAGAAACCTGGAGCTGGGAAGGAGAGGGGCAGAACAGCTCAACCTTGAACTTTTCTTCCTTGAGGAAGGGACAGGTGAGCCATGGGCTAGATGGGGTCCACTGTTCACACCAAGAAACCTCAGGTTGCAAAGATCCTGTGTGGGAGCCTGTGAGGGCTTCTAAGCGGGCTCTCAGGAGCCTGCTTGCTTAGACAACATGTGTGTCTTTAGCCTCTGTGACAGGCCCTGTCCACAGTCACTGCAGAGGTGAGGACAGCGAGGACTGGGTGGTCACTCAGGGTCCTGTGGCACCTGAGGGGGGCAGGCACAGATCGCGGCTTGGGGATCGGGTGGGCCGTGTGGGTCCAGACTTATGCTCCACTCTGTTAAGATGCCTGTGCGCAGCAGTCGTGGCTTCCAGGCTGGAAAGGGACCTTGGTATTGGTGTGGACGTCACTGTAAAAATAAGGTGTGATTACAAGTCACAAAGTTTTTATAACCTCAAAATGCTAAAACTGGGAGAGGACCTCAGGGATCATCCAGGCCTTCTTGCTAAACTGGGTTCACTCCCGGACACTTCTTCTGTGAGTGTGTGTGTTTGTGTTTGTGTGTGCTCGCATGCTCCAAAGAAACACAAGAGATAAAGGTCAAATTAATTCCTTCAGTAGAAGTTGTGACAGAGGACTCAGCACCCACAGGTTACCACCTCTTCATGCACCCATTCCTGCCTTTGAAATAGCCCCCTCCCAGGACAAAGAGGGCCAACGTGGAAAATCTGTGTCTAGTTCTCCCTGTCAACTGATACAGCGGGAAACTGAGGCACAGAGAATGTTCTTGCTTTGCTCAAAAACATACATAGTCTGTGTCAGAGAGCGCTGAACTCAAATATCCTTCCTAGCTTGCCACCTCATTTTGTGTGTTGGGGAGACAATAGGGGATGGTGGGGGTTGTGTCCTTAGTTGTGGTGCCCAGTTCGATGGTGTCTAATGACACTTGGTCCCGTTAGGTCAAGCTGGGCAACCTGGACCTGGACGTCGAGCAGGAATCCGTCCCTTCCATGTGGTATTTTCTGATTGTGCTTCCCGTCTTGCTGTTGATTGTCATTATCGGTAAGTGCAGTGTTTAATTTTGTCAGAGAAATTATTCCCTAGGATTTCTCATCAGGCAGGCCAACTTTCAGGGGCTGTTGGTTTTAATTAAGTATTAATGGATGAAAACCCAAATCAAAACTTTGGGACAGGAGTAATAGGTACCTGTAACAGTCTTTATAAACAATTTTTTGAAAGGGTGCTTCATTAATAAAAAGCTGGATTTACAAAGGTTGTATCTTAGTGTTTGAGATAGAGTCCACTTTGCTGTTTTGATTCTTTGAAGTGGAAAACAAGTGTCCTGTGTTCATATTATTCCCCCAAGATTCCTCTGGGTTTTTGGATTCCAAGAACTTGGTCATCAAGTCCTGCCTTCTCACCCCACCAAACATCACCCCCACTCCCAGCCCTGCCTTTCCTGGCAAAATTTTATTTCAGAAATACGATCCATACCATCTATTAAAATGTTCCAAGATTCATCCTAGGACAACTTTCCTGTGGTGCTTTCTCAGTGACTCATTCTGGACCATCAATGTGGTTTTGTTTTTCTGGTATTTTTGGCCTACACAGCACTTACCAAAACTTTGAAGCAGTCAATGATATTTAAAAATTACATGATTAAACTTTTTAAACTATCTCACAAATTTGGAAGACCTGGGTCATAGATTCCATTTTTCCACAGTACCCATCTGCTGGAGTTGAGCAGTCGCTAGCCCTGGCTAGAAAATGTGCTTATGGGGCTCTCGCCACAGTCTCTACCCCTTCCTAGTGTCTCCACCCAGGCCACTTATGTCCTTGGCCCTTCTAGCCATTTATTTTGTCACCTCTTGTTCTGAGACTTTCGTTGTAAGTCTTTCCCTCTTCCTTCTTGGAAAAGAGATAACATAGCACTTTGTATTCCTCGATTTAACACAGGCATCGCCTTTCGGACATCGTCTGTAAATACGCTCATGTCTCCTCTTCAGTCACCCATTTCCCACAACCATTTATTTGCCTTTTGTTTATTGGGCATTGGTTGCATTGCTGATATTGTACTAGTCTCTGAAGTTAGAGAAGATAAAGTCTGGTCCTTTAGTGTGTTAATTCCCAGTCCAGCGAGGGTATGATTAATTGCCTAACGGAATGAATAACTCTTGCAGAGATCCTGTTTCGTGCTGTTAATGGCCATTTCAGATATTTTTATGCTCTACCTGAGTTGTCTCCTTATGTATCTGCAATCCAGAAGTAGACGGGATATCTTCATAAATCCTAGCTGCTGCTGGCTCCCAGGACATGCCAAATGTGGGCTCTCATTTCAGAGTCTGCTGCTTTCTGTAACTGTACATGGTCTTCTAGAGTCCCGTCCACTTTATGAGACTGACAGCGTCTGCTCTCTTCCTGGCCTAGATGGGACTCTTCTCTTCCCTCACTGTGTGTGCAGAGATTGTTCAGGCCCTTTGAGGGGAAGCTGGCTCAGTTTGACACATTGCTTTTGGCTTCATTTGCATCTTCAAAACCCTTCGAAATTGTCACCCTTTTGCTATCAAGATCCTAGGACTCGGCAGCCTGAGTGAGGGCCAACATTATCCTGTCAGTCACATCCATGAAAACAGTAAACACACCTGGCCTGGGCCTGCCACCCTCAAGACACCCTCACGGCAGCTTCCTCTGGAGGTTTCAGCCCTGAGACATTTGCGGCTTTATGGATGTGGCCTGTCAGCTCCCTTGGTAGCTATGAGCCAGAGATGCTCAGATTGCAGCCTGAGGAGCCGTAGTCATGAGTGTTGTCCATAGAAATACGGGTTTCGTGATCAAGTGGATTCTGGAACCACTGCCTGCACCACCCTTCTCTTGGAGATGCACCAGGCACATGATAGCAGAGACTGTTGACTTTGTGATGTGGTCCAGAGATTGTATTTATTTGGTTTCCTCCAGCTTCACTAGCACCTCCTGGTAGCAGGGCCCTTTCATCTTGAAGTTTCTGTCCAAAGTGGTCAAGCATTTTAGAACAGTAATAGCTGTTGGCCATGGCTGAGAATTATTTTTAAAATACATGTTGTAAATGCTTTCTCCGAGGTGCTTCTTATGATCCTTTGTACATCATAGTGACATAGGCTCTGTGACAGATTGGGCAGTGAGGGTCCAGAGAGGCTAATGACCTGACACAAGGTCACACAGCTAATAAGAGGCAGAGGACTGAACCTGTTCAGCTTACTACCCCTACAGCAGTTACAAGCAAGGTGAACTGGGAAAAGAAGCAATAACCTAGAATAGGGTTCGTGGTGAACCCCTCATCACATCACCCCATTTGACCAGTGCAGATTGACTTAGGTAGCTAACTGGGGTTCTGTGGGGCTTTTTTTGCTCTTCAACTTGATTTCTCCATGGATGTTTAGAAACATTAGAAAAGAATGGAACAATATAAGTGCCCCATAGCTGTAGGGAAACTTGGTTTGTTTCATTACTTTTCAGCCAACTGGGATCCTTGGCTACAAGGGAAGGTTATTTGATTTAGTTTTTACCTTTTGGGCGGGGGGGGGGGCGGGGGGGAGTAATGGATTTTTAAGTCTGTTTCTTGTCCACATTGACTGACTGTAGGTTTTTGAAAGTGGTGACAGGTATGTGGGGTGGGGACAGTGTGCATGGCTTGCTTGGTGAGTCATCATCCTCGAGATTGTTCTGGAACACTGTACACAGATATGGTGTGGGCAGCTCCTTGCATCTCTGGCCTCATCAGCTTCATTGAGCCTGGTACCACGCACACACCTGGAGCAGCCATCTCCTTTGAGGCAGAGTTGGGGTCTCTCAGTGCCCCAGGGGTGCTCTTCTTGGGCACACTTCAAGGATGGATGGCCTGCGGCTGCCCCTGGGGCCTGTCTGGTCTCCACCTCATGCGTGGTGGGATGGTCCTCACCACCCTTCTGTGTGGGCCCAGAGGGGAAAGGCGTGGCTTTTGCTTTTTTTTTTTTTTAAACAATTTATTTATTTTATTTATGTATGTATACAAGAGCTGAAGTATACACCAGAGGTGGGGTGGGAGGTGAGAGGATTCACCAGAGACAGTGGGGAGCTGGACAGGTGAATTCACTGAAATTCACTGCTGAGGGGAGCAGCAGGTGAGACAGGAGAGGTCTGCTGTGCCATGTGGGTCACCTCCCTGGCCAGGGATCGAACTCGGTGCTACAGTGGCTGTGGATAACTTCACCGTGCTGAGACTTAACCCCTTACAGCATCGAAGAGGCCTGTGGTTTTTACTTTTAAGATAAGAAGGGGTTTTGGAATCTTTTTTCCTGTGGCATTTTAGCATCCTCCTCTTAGGAGTCACCCTGCATTGGGAATTTTGCTCTTTTTAAGTTCTTCTCTCTGTCTGTCTCTCTATCTGTCTCTTTCTCTCTCTTCCCCCCATTCTCCTCCTCTCTTCCTCCTCATGTCTCTCTCTCTGTCTCTCTCTCTCGTCCTCCTTTTCTCTCTCCCTCTTTCCCTTTCTCCTTCTCTGTCTGTTGGTCTTCATTCTCCCTTCTGTGTTTTCCATGAACCTGTCCATTGACGCTGCTCTGTGTTTCCTCAGCAGCCGTGGTGGTGACCAGGCACAAGTCAAAGGAGCTAAGTCGCAAACAGAGCCAGCAGCTGGAGCTCCTGGAGAGCGAGCTCCGGAAAGAGATACGTGATGGTAGGCTCCAAAATTTTATTTGTAGAAAAACAAGCCTTTTTTATTGCTTTTTTTTTTATTTTTACACTTTAATGGAGCTGGCCACAGTAATGAGAACTGTTTGTATAATAGAAGGCAACTGAGCAGCAGGGTCTGGGCCTGGCTTTTGTGTTTTATTTCAGCTCCTCTTTGCAGCCAACCAAGTAATTATCTATTGTTTCTTCTTTAATGAAAACCAAGGTCACACTCCGCATTAGACAAAACAGCAGAAGATCTTATCCATTGTTTGTTGAGTTAAAATATTGCTCTTGGGATTCTGTTTTGCAGGCTTTGCTGAGCTGCAGATGGATAAATTGGATGTGGTTGATAGTTTTGGAACTGTTCCCTTCCTTGACTACAAACATTTTGCTCTGAGAACTTTCTTCCCTGAGGTAAAAGAGCATTGATCATATTCCTAAGGTTGAGTCTTGAATAATAATGAAGGTGCTTGTTGCTATTGTCAGAACGGGTGTTTGCTGCCAAGGCAGCTGTAGATAATGTCCTCGGTTTGAGACACAAACATGTCTTAAGTTTGAGCAGAGCAGGGAGGAAGATAATTATTAATTAGATTGATTAGGATGTAAAGCAGTGATGGGTCATTGCCAGTTACTCCTTGTTCAGTAGCTAAAACCTAGGAGGGACAGAAGTTCGGAGTGATGATTTTTGCTTTATTTTACTACCAGCTTAGAACTGAATTTGTAGCTAAGAAGAGAGCTGGTTTGTTTAAAAATCAATAGGTTGTGGGCTGACCAATTTATTGTGTTTCTGCATGACTTCCATTGCAGCTACTAGATTATTCACTATTACTTCTCAATTGGAACTGAAAACTACTACCAGCCAGTGGAAGAGAGTAGACATGTATAGAATTTGAGTTGAGAGTGGCTACTTTTAGCCATGTAGAGTTTTTATGTTTCTCGTCAGCAGTTACTCGCTACCTGCTCAGTTCGTATCATCCTCACTTAGTAGGAATAGCTGCACAAGATGATGAATTAATTTTCTCTGGGATTTGAGGAGTAGTTGCCTTAACCCTTTGGGTTTTCAGTCTCACTTATGTTCTGACACCTCCATTTTCTCACCCACTCACTCAGCCTTCGTCATGTACCCCCCACACCTCTGGAGAGGTACACTCATCCTCCTGTCCTCACCTCTGTTCCTGGCATCCCAGCTCCTCCATATTGCCCCTTTTTGTCCAGAAGTGTTGACCACAGATTGGCCCACTCTCTGGAATACAACACCCATGATTTAGATCTAGAGTTCTAAGCAAAACCAGAGATGCCTCCAGGCCAAAGGAGCACTTTAGTGTACCAGAATTTCTCTCTGGATTGGGCAGGAAGCCAGACACAGGCAATAAGCAAGTTCCATTTTTTCTATAATTCTAGAAGCGGACACCATGATAAGTGATGTTGTTGGAGGTTGGGGTGTGACTGAAAAACACCTGCCATATTCGTTGTTTTGAAGCCTTAGTTGTGGCTCAAGACTGTAAGACTTAAGCGTTTCACCCTCATATGTTTTTACATTTATCCTCCAAGAGTACCAGCCACCGTGATGTACATTTGCCACCTCGTCCATTTCTGTGGCAGAACCCTGCCAGGGAAGGAGCCCAGTTCCCTGAGACAGGACGACCTCATAGAGCCTAGCAGAGGTTGCCTGCTCCCGTTTCCCAGCTCGCTGAGGTCCCCATTAAGAATTTAATAGCAATAAAATAACAGATTTCTACCATCAACATGAGCACTGTATGGGCTTTTACAGTTAATGATTGCCCTTGAGTGCTGAAGACAGTAATCTGTGGCCTGAAAAAGAAATTTTCCTATCTTCTCAATCCAGTAATCAAGGGCAAGATCGAGCGATGAATGCAAAGGAACACTGTTACAAGTGGAGTGTTTAAAAAAAAAAACGGTGCCCAGAACAATGCTGCATTCCAGTAGGAGAAGAGAGTGGCAAGCCAGACGGACTTAACTCGGGGTTACGTGCGGTGTGCCAGGCGACTAGGAAACCTGTAAGAACTGATGACAAAGGAGTTGTTAGATGGCAAGACCAAGAAGAGCAAGAAAAATATTGACCCGAACCTCATCAAAAAGATCTAAGCTGAGAGTGAATTTAGAATAAGGAAAGGGAGAGAGTGCAGGAGCACGTTCTGGTAGGAGCGGGCCATCCTGTGCCTTTGAGGTACCAGGTGCATCCTGGCACACCTGCAGCCACACCTGTGGCTCTGCGGATGCACCTGGAGCCACAGCTGAAGTCTCGCAGGTTGGATGGTAGAGGGAGAGTTGGCGGGTCGCCCCTCCCGGACGCCAGCAGCAAGATCCAGAGGAAACTTGTAGGTTTGCGGAGACCCAGCTGTTACCAGACTGTGGTTTTGGCCCACCCTGGTTGGTTTTGGCTTGAAAAGCCTTGCTGCTTTGTTACTGCAAAAAAAAATGGAAGAATGAGGTGAGCAGAGAGGATCTAACCTCCCAGCAAAGGAAATTTGAATGAAAGGAGGAAGGCAGTTTAGAGCCCACGGTGACAGGGCCATTTCCCCACTTACGGTCAAGAGTCATCTCTTTCGGCTGTTTGTCTACGCAGCATTAGTTCAGCAGAAAAATATGGGTAACTACAGTGTAAACCAGATCTGCTTTTTCTGCTTATTACTAGGGAAAGGAGTATCTCCAAAATAGGTTGAGTTCTTCTGCTTGGCCTAACAAATTAGAAACCATAAGGCAATAATTCTTTGCAGAAGAAATTTACTTTAATGAGATATAAAAATAACCTAAGGTTTCAGTGATCACCAAATGTGTAAAAAAGAGAGAGAGAAAGAGAAATCTGAAGTTTGACTTCATGCTTTCATTCTGTTGACTCATTGAAGGCCTAACTCAGCATGCTTTTAAAATTTAATCACTTCATTCCAGTAAGAGTTATAATACATTAAAAAGAAAACTCAAATTTAAAAGATTACATTCAAGGAGCCACACAGCCCAGCACATAAACTTATTTCAGGAACTCGTGGGGCAGCACCCGGAGGCCCCTTTTGTCGTAACTTAGGGATGACAGTCCAGCTGACCTCGAGCGCTTACTCTGTGCTCATCCGTGGTACTTGCGCACCAAGTCTGCCAGGTGGGAAGCCTGATATGCAGGTGGAGCAGGTCAGGCACAGAAACTTAAAAAGTGGGCCAAGGTGATCCTGCCAAGCCTGGAGCCCCCCGGGGTGGGCACCAGATTCCAGGTCCTTGTCACCCCACGCCACTGGCCCCAGCGTGACGCTGTGTCTGGACACAGTACACCTGGCCGAGGGGAGGCCAGTAAGAGCTGGCCTGAGGCAGGTGTGTCCTCAGAGGTGGATCGCTGACGGGCGGCGGTCTGTGCCTTGCTTCATCTGGGAGGACCACTTCGGTAACCCTGAGTCACTTTTTGCCAAGTGTGAGGTGCCTTCACCTTCCCAAAACAGGACAGATGCAACGATAGCTATTCTTCCTAGAGGCCTTCAGAATTCATTGGCGTTTCTTAAGAGCTGAATAATTATTTATGAATGGAAGGATATGCTGTGAGCATAAGCCCAGGGGCTCTTAAGATTAGCAAATAGTGTTTCTACTTTATTAAAACGGACTTGGGTATTATAACAAAAATACACTATTCATTTCCTTTGGATGTTATGAATAATAAAAGTGTCTCCTTCCTCTCAGTCAGGTGGCTTCACACACATCTTCACTGAAGATATGCATGTAAGTCTCTAAGTTTTCATTTTTAGCCCAAGACTGCCTGACTCTCATAGTGTTATCATCATCATCATCATCTCCATTATTACTTTGAATTTTTATCGTGGGTTTTTTTGGATCATGAATTCGATATTAAATAATTCATTGTCTTGGAAAACCCATTGTGGATCTGCTTTCTAACTTTAAGTTCTTATAACTATCCCTTATTCTATTATATCCTACTATATCACATACATTTTCTTTTCCAGAACAGAGATGCCAGTGACAAGAACGAAAGTCTCACCGCTTTGGATGCGCTAATATGTAATAAAAGTTTCCTTGTTACCGTCATCCACACCCTCGAAAAGCAGAAGAACTTTTCGGTGAAGGACAGGTAATAGTTCATTTGTTTAGGTATTCAAAGCCATTGAGTAGAAGTAAAACCTGAGCTTCTTGTTTAATTTCAGGTCACCCCTAAACCTGGCCTTTTACAAGCACACACTAATGTAAAGACTGTCAGATGGGGTGACTTACAGAGACTTAAGTAGACTTTATTATGTAGATGGGGTGGTTATGTAGTCAGATCATACTACCGTCATGCACATTTTCTCTCAAAAATCCATACATAAGCATCCCCCCCAAAAAAATCCCTGAAAAACCCCAACATCAAGAAAAGAAACCAGTGCCAAATCAAAAAAGCAGAAGTGTTATTCTCTATTCGTAAAAACACCTTAGAAATTCGAGAGCTTTCACTTCTTTTTCCCAATTGGTCTGAAAGTATACATGCTGAAAATACATGAAATGTCCTGAAGTTCACATTGGTGTGTGGTTTTCATGGATCAAGAACAAAGGGCTGAAACCTAGATATGGAAAAGAGTCCCACAGCAGAACACACTCTCCCCGCTAGAATCTACCATCAGTGGTGAGCTGAGCCACAGCTAATGGTTAATCTCATGAACCAGGGCTCTGTTTTTCTGTCTGTATCTTTGTCATCTGTGTATATCTCTATTTTTCTTTCAGTTTTATTGAGACATAATTGACAAATGGCCTGTGTCACTTTAAGATGCACCAAATTAGGACCTGGCGTTTAGATTACAAAATGATTGCTGCCAGTTTAGTTAGCATCCATTATCTCGTAGGTACCAAAAAAGGAAAACAAAAGTATTTTCCTTGCATGAGTTGTAGGATTCACTCAAATAGACCTCACAGCAGAGTTAATAGTTACCTTCCTGTTGTTCATTATATCCCGTACTTAGGACTAGAGCCTTTGACCACTTCCACCCAATTTATCCTCCCTGCCACTAGTAAACAAAAATGTGATTTTTTTCTATAAGCTTGTTTCTCTGTCTCTTTTTTAGATTCCACATATAAGTGTATTCCTATAGTATTTGTCTTTTTCTCTTTGACTTGTTTCACTTAGCATGTTTTCATAAGTGGTAGGATCTCCTTTTCACGACTGAATAGTATTTCTTTCTTGGGCCTCTCCCTCCCCCCACCCTTCTTTCCTCCCTTCCTCCATTTCTCCTTCTCTTCCTCTCTCACGTGTATACATGTAACATTTTCTTCATTCATGCATGGGTAGACACTTATTTAGGTTGTTTTACATCTTGGCTGTTGTAACCAAGGCCCTCTTTTTAAACAGGTGTCTATTTGCCTCCTTCTTAACCATTGCACTGCAAACCAAGCTTGTTTACCTGACCAGCATCCTGGAGGTGCTGACCAGGGATCTGATGGAACAGTCCAGTAACATGCAGCCCAAGCTCATGCTAAGGCGTACAGAGTCTGTGGTCGAAAAACTCCTCACAAATTGGATGTCTGTCTGCCTGTCTGGTTTTCTTCGGGTAAGTGTCACCTCCACGGTCAGTGTCAGAGGTAAGACAATAGGGGACTAATTTTAGCTAGCGCTGCTGTATTTGCCAGGATGAGTCCTGAGGTCCCTGGTGTCAGCATTTCCCCGCCTTTATTCTGGGCCCTTATCGGGAGCACATGGAGGGGAAAATGGAAATGTTTTCTGTTACTAGCCTATGCTGATGTAATCTGCTTAGAATTTCCTCAGGTAAACTTCTCTCTTTTCAAAAATTTTATTGTAATAAGAACAATTAGCGTGACACTTACTCTCTTCACAGATTTTTAAACATACAGAGCAGTGTTATTTCTGGGCACCATGTTATACAGCGGGTCTCCAGAACTTACGGATCTAGCATGACTGAAATTGTATACCCATTGACTGTGGAGACCACCTTTGTATCACTAACGCTCATTAACACCAGAGCCTGGTCAGTCCATTTAAGAAAATGGACAGAGTAGAAGGAGTATTTCAAATGCTGAAGAGAACACCATGTTTTCAGGGCCTCGGAAGCATCTTAGAAATACCCATTTACCTACCAATACACTGTAAGCTAATTACACTCAGTTCCAACCAGTCATTCCACATTAAAGAAAGTCCCCAGAGAACCGCCCGCCCCATGAGTTCACTTTGTTGGAATGACTATAGAAATGTGATTGCCATCTAATTGAATCTTGAAATCTTCCGAATGCGAACTTTGCACAGACGGGCCCCAGAGCCTGCTGCTTGGTCCGAATTGAGACTTAACCACTTGCTGGAGGCCCCAGGCAGGTGTCTTCACCTCTGTCAGCCTTGGCTTTCTAGCCTGTAGAGCTGGAGGAAGAATCTTTCAGGACTGTTCTGAAGCAAAGATGAGAAAATGCAAAATGCATGCGGTTGCTGAGCACTGAGCAGGCTCACCGCGAATGCTGGACATTATGATTCTAAAATATTAATAGGAAAAGAAGAGTGTTCTGTTGAACCCAATCTTCCTTCAGCCCTCTGAGGCCGCTGGCTCAGAAGGTTCTTATCCTCCTTTAATTTCACTAGCCATCCAGATTCCAGCAAAACTGCATAATTGTGTATTTGTAGCTAGTCCCGAAATCTAATTAAACTTTGAATAAGATACACTGCTATGCCACAGGTTTTAACAGTGCTACTTAAGTTGAGACCCAAAAGCAGCACTTTAAATAGACCGTGCTTAGTTTAATGTTTAATGCAATCTTACAAGTAGATGCATAACATTTTTTTTTTTTTTACCAACCCCTTCCTCTCCCGAGGCAATCCCCATTTATTAAGATTAATGAAATCTGCCTTCTCTTCTGTTTACTTGGTATAAATCATCATACGCTTTGGGAAGGTGTTGAGTGGTTATTTCTGGGTCGAACGTTTTTTTGCTGCCTACCACCCCAGCTTTGGCCACAGCTGCTTCTAAGTGGGGCAACGGGACCCTCACCTGTTTCTGCGGCTCAGTCTTAAAGGCAGATCTCTGCCCCACCACTGAAGCAGAAGCTCTGGGGAGCAGACCTGCAAATCCGTGTTTGCCAGGCTCCTCTAGGTAATTGTGCATTAGGGCGCCCCGGGGGGATTGGAGCACTGAACTGGGAGCCTTGCTAAGAGCCACAGGCCAAGGCTTTAAATTCATCTCAGCCCCTGTTGGTGTGTGGCCCTGAGGAATGTGGTCACTGGTTATAAATTTTTTGCCAGCTCTTTCTGCAAGGATCTTGTGATTCTTACTTGGAATCCTTTGGTCGGCTGCTTGCTCCTATTGTTGTTGGGCACTAAGGGCGCAACGCATTCAGAAAGTCTGGGCTCCCAGCCCAAACAGCCCCCTCGAGCAGAGGATTCTGGGTCAAGATTTCGCAGTGCTGATTCAAGAGGATCTTGAGCACTTGGGTTGGTGAGGGGGTGGCACACTCACGGGGAGGAAGAGGCACTGAGCCAGTCGGCGATACTTTCGTTTTCAGTGAAATAGCCCATCTGGCGTGGAGGGCCTGACTTCCCCCACCTGGTGCCCTGGGGAGGGGCGACCCTCCCAGCCCTCCTACTCCATATGTTGCTGATCAGACCCCACCAGCTCTGAGTACTCAGGAGCTCCCCTGGGCCGGCCCCCAAGGCTTTGTGGGTAACCAGAATTACTCCCATGTATTGAATGTACCAGAAACCATGGAAAGAGCTCTGGTTGCCTTTTCTCACTTAATCCTGTGAGGTAAGGACTTGGTGACCACTTTTCACAGTGGGGGAAATTGTGACACAGAACGAATGCATGTTTCCCCAGATCCCACGACTGGCATGTAACAGCACCCAGGCTGCGAGCTCTTAGTCATACCCCTCCTGCTTTCTGGCAGGCACCTTCTCACAGAAGTGAGCTCACACAGACACAGAAGCCCAGCTCAGCCAAGCCGAGTGTGGTCTCATGGAGGCAAGGACGGTGAAGGGCCAGGGTTAGCTCTGGCACAGGAGGAAAAGGGGCTTGGCAGCAGGGGAGGTGGACGCTCTCACAGTCCCCCTCCCTGGGGCTGGGTACACCCTGGTCAGATAAGATAAGGACGAACTTGGAACTTGGTTCAGTAGTGACAGCAACCCCATGGCCCCGTGGTTTCTGAAGCCAGTTGCACATCTGACTCCTCTGGGAAGGTTTTGAGACTCCAGATGCCCAGGGCACCCTTCAGACATGCTGGTTCTGTGGCCTACCATGGGGCCTACCATGGGGCCCACGTGGCATCTACCCAAAGAGCACAAAAGCATTAACACAAAGCAGCACCCTTTGCAGTAGACATGGAAGAGCCTAGTGCCCATCCAAGAATTTGTGGCACAGCCACGCTGGGAGGGCCTTTGACCCCGAGGAAGGGTGAAGTGCAGGTATTTACAGCAAAGTGCCGGGGCTGGAGGAAACTGTGTGCCATACAGCGAGTCAGCACGGTAAAGACATCGAGGTGATGGACAAGGTAAAACTCTTGGAACGACTAGCAGACATTAAGAAATACCAGAGGCCACTGAGGTTAAGGGGGAGCAGAGGGCACAGAGCATATAAGGGTGTGGGGGTGCAGGGGTTGTTGGGTGGTGCTGAACTAAGGCAGGTCCTGGCCACCTGAATACTCTACCAGAAGCCCTCAGCTTCCGGTAGTGATGATTTAAAATTAGAAGCATCGGTGTGGGCCACAGTGTGAGATGAAACATTCCTCTTCATCTGGACGCTGGGGAATTCCTGACAGCGGGCCCACTGAGCCCGACTCTCCCAGCACCAGCTCTGGAGGGCCCATCTGGCCCCAGATTCCAGCCCCCGCGGGCACCGCCCCTCACCGGGCCCTCAGCCCTGTCCTGATGTGTGCTGGAGGAAAAGAGAGAAGTGGGGCTGCAGGGATGTGGTTAGGACACTGGGTGGGGTGGGGGGGAGCCGGAGCTGGAGCAGTGTAGTTGTGAACCACTAAATAAAGGAAGTTTCTTATAAGAACTGAAATGTCATGTACTAGTCCCAACAATCTCCCCACCTGGGAAAGTTTCTAACATTCACCTCTGTCTTACACTTAAGGGAGAAACTAGCCGGTTTGTCAGGAGAGACAAGTGACAGTGGAGGAGGAGGAGGGTGGCTAGGGAAACCCCAGGCTGACGTGGGATGGTGTAGACAGAGGCTTAGCGGGGGAGGGTTGGGGTCCCAAGAGACTTAAAAGAGGTCTCCGTTTACCTGTTCAAGGGGGAGCAGGTAAGCAAGGCGGTAGAACCCTCCTTTGGAGACAGAGGCACTGGCTTTGCGCTGGGCTGTTGGACTCCTGCTTCCAGCCCTGGCACAGGCTGAGTTTTCATCCTCACCTAGGTGGGTTGACTTCCTGGCTCTGGCCCAGCTCTTCCTCCGCAAATACTGCTTTAGTATCTGTTGATCAGAGAAGGTTTATTATTCAGCACGTGATACTGTCTTCAAGCTCACAGAGGCAGGACCACTCACACCTTCCCCTTGGGCTGCTCAAGGCCCTCTGGAGCACAAAGGGGCCACATTGAGGGGCCCCAGGGGACAACAGGGGGAAGCGCAAGAAGCCATGAGGATGGAGAAAGTTCAGCACCAGCCTGGGAGCTGGGAGCCAGCTCTGGTCCCGAGTGGAGCTGAGCTGAGCTGTCAGTGTGGTCTTGCTGCAGCTCGGCTGTCTGGTGGGGCTGGCGGCCTGTGTCTGCAGAGGGCATGAGACCTAGCTTGCACCCAGGGAGGAGAGGAGGCTGCAGAGGCCACTTCCTCTGTGAAATGATGACACCAAATATCATCCTTGTCAGCAAACTTGAGATGGGCTTCCCTTCATTTAGCAAAGCCAATTGTGTGCATTTTAGAAAATGGTGTTTATTTGCAGTGTGCTAAAAAGAAAAAGGGCTGTTAAACAGGACTGTAAACAAAGGTTAAACATCTGCCGCTGCTAGCTACAGGCACAGCCAAGTGATGGCACAGGTACCCCACGAAAGTGCACACACCAGGACGCAGCCGCTGTGGGCTGCCCCCAGTTCAGCCTCAGTGTCTGAGCGTGAGAGCAGCTGGGTGTGCCGGGGAGGGAAGGTGGTTTCCTCTCCAGCCTCCGGGAGGAGCATCCCAGCTGACTGTTCAGTAACATGGCCTCCTGTAACTTGAACTCTTTGGCAAGGGCAGTGGGTCCCACATAACGCTGTCTGTCCCTTTCTGCTCTTTTTCAAGGAGACGGTTGGAGAACCCTTCTATTTGCTGGTGACGACTTTGAACCAGAAAATTAACAAGGGTCCCGTGGACGTCATCACTTGCAAAGCCCTGTACACCCTCAATGAAGACTGGCTGCTGTGGCAGGTCCCGGACTTCAGCACTGTGGTGAGTGTGTGGTAGAGTTCTCCCCCAGCCTTGGAACAGGACTGGGTGCTTGGGGGACGGGGGTG